AATTGTAATTGTAATTGTAATTGTAATTGTAATTGTAATTGTAATTGTAATTGTAATTGTAATTGTATTGTATTGTATTGTATTGTATTGTATTGTATGTATGTATGTATGTATGTATGTATGTAAGTATGATTCTGTATGTATACATGTATGTTTGTATATATGCATGCATGTGTGTGATGTATGTGCATGCATATACACACACACACATATATATATATGTATATATATATATAACAAACACCCTAGAGTAGTTTTCAGCTGTCACCCTTGCTCGTAATTGTCTATTAGCCAGATGTGATCAGGCGACCCTGGCGAAAGAAGGATCTGCAACGAGATCCTGGCTGTGCGTTCCCAGTGTCGAGAAGAGGCTACGGGTGAAGAGCTTCAGCGCAACATGCAGAAGCTCCTTGTCGAACTCGAATGCACGCGCCTGATAGCCCTAATCACTGATTTTGACCCTAACTCTAACGCCGACTGATCTCGAAAGTGTGCTTGAGTCGGAAGCGAGGTTTGGCCAACCGGTGGGAGATGGAGCCCAGCGGTATGAGTTGTTTCTCATTCCTTCTGTGTGCCTCGGTGCTGTTAAAGATCAGGAGCAGTCCTACATCCTAACGCCAAACTGACCTCGAACAGTCCAAGCTGCAACCACCTCCTAAACTGCACCTCAACCCCTGAATCCGCAACCTGAAAAAACTGAAATGCTAAGCTCTACACCCCAAGCCCTAAAACCCGAAATCCTTAGCCGTAGACGGTCCACCGAGGCTCCAGACCAAGCGAGAAGTCCTGCAGAGACTGCGCCAATGAAGTGCGTTTGAGCAGGTCCTGCGGTTTTAGGGCTTACAAGCGATTAGGTTAGGGGTTTAGGGGATCTCAAAAGCACGGGCTCCCGGATTGCAAAGGGTTTGAGTAAGAGGGAACTTCCATATCGACCCTACAACTGCGAAAATTCCTGAAAGCACGGACCTGCCCAAAGAAGACACCGCTAGTTTACCTAGAGAGCCCAGTTATATTCCATGATATGGTTAGTTCTCTAAATTAGGGTCCCTTTCGGGGTCCTTTTTACAAGGTGCCGTACTATAGTGGGGACCTAAAAAGGGATCCTAATTTAGAAAACTACCCATATACCTGAAAGTCCTCAGTAAACGGAGGGGTTGGGCTCTCCGGGAAAGAACCGCCGATAGCCCACAGGCCCTGAAGTCCCCGTGTGGTTTATCATCTGTGACGGCCACAGGGTTTAGGGTTTGTCACTGTCGGGATTGGAAGGATCTCAGATTCTAGGCTGTAAGGGCTTAGGATTCAGCCTCTTTTGGCAAAGGCTCCCAGGAAATTACCATCATTCTGAAGTGCTATAATCATGCTACTGTAGCAAGAGCACTGCTCCATGGAACCCATACGGTCTTTCGGCCGATCTTCGACCCTGAACCCGACAAGCGCTTCCTGCAGCAAAAACCGGAGGACCTCCCAAACCTCAGAAGCACGCCCCGCCATGTCTGACAAGAGGCAAAGTCCTCTGAAATCGCCAATGCTCTTAAACAAAACACAGTGGTTTCGAGACCAGGGCTATCGGAGGGCAGAGACTTCCAGGGCGTTTACAACGGTATAGACTCTTTGGTACAGACGCGTGGCTCTTCGGGCTGCGGGCTGTTACTGTAAGGATTGGGCTCTTGAAGGTAGTTGCTGTTGTAGGTTGCAGGGTTCCTACGGTGGGTTTGAGATTCCGGGGTGACGGGCTCGACGTAGAAGCCTGAATCGGCATGTAGATGTGGGCCCTGGGCTGGTTAGCATCGACAGTTAATGGCACTTAACAGCACTCAGGATCCTACGTTAAAACCTGCAACCCAGACACCACGAGAAAGTCAAGTCCTGAAAACTACGCCCAAAAACCCTAAACCCTGTAAAAAACAAATCCCAACCTGGCTTTTGGCTGAGGGTCAAAGCCCACGATCAAGTTTAAGGTTGTGTTGGCTGGAGGTGCGGAGTTTAGGGTTTTGGGGTTCGAGATTGCTGTTTTCCCGTTTAGGGTCGATCTGTCGATGTGGTTTAAGCTCAAGGTTCATCAGTGTTGTTCAAGTTAGTTTGGGGCTTAGGGGTGTGGGCTGGGTTGAGTCCACGTGTCCTCCACGTTCATCGGGTGGCCTACGTCCGTTGACCGTTCAAGGCTCCCTGAAGCAGCTAATCTCGGGGACTACATGAAACCCTAAACCCTAAACCCTAAACCCTAAACCCTAAACCCAATTACCAATACTATTTGGGGAGGCTCCTTATTATAATTAGAATATATTCGGCCCCAAAGCCCGATCCCCAAAGCCCGATTCTAATTATTCAGGCCTCTACGTTACGGTTTGGGGCGGAGGATAGGAGTAGATTCAGATACCTTGGGGCTTAGGTTTAGACTTTAGAGGTTCATCCAGAGGGTTCAAGCTTTCAGGTCTAGCGCGAGCGTCGCGCAAGCTCAGTTCGTGAGCTTTGGAGTCATTTTCGAGGGTGTCGTACTTAATTAACTCTGCTCAGAACCATGGAGGCCTCCCTGAAGCAACATGTTTTAGCATGCAGGGCTTGCGGGTGGACATCGGTGGTTGTAGCAACCCTTAAGCATAAGATCTAAATCCTAAACGGCGATGTTTGCTTACATGCCTCCGCAGCTCAGTCAGCGGCATACAGTGGCGTCCGCGACACATCAGAGCACACAGCCATGCTGGAATGGATTCCCTGGCTGTTTGTGCCTGGGCTGCAAAGCAAGCTTGGTTTTTGAGCGTTTCAGGGTCCCGAGGCGCAGGCCGTCGGGATCGTATTCGGCTGCCTTCTGTGCTTCCTCAACTTGTGCTACCGATGCTTCAAATGCACATGACCCTAAACCTTGAACCCTAAACCTAAAGCCCTGCATGCATGATGCTGACGGACTCGTTTGACCTCGATGCTTTCGTTTTGCTTCTCGCATGCATGGATTTGACGCTCATTCCGTTATGTTCCACAAAAGATGTTTCCATTTTAAGTAGCAGCATACGTAGACACATATATATATATATACACACACATACATACACATAATATATATATATATATACATACATACATACATACATACATACATAAATACATACATACATACATACATACATACATACATACATACATACATACATACATCTGCATTCACATGCATATATATATATATATGCATAAACGCTACATATCGATGCTTGAGGTTTTCTTGACAGGGGGGCGTGATTGTCTCCAGAGCCACCAAGGTTCGGGGCCGCGTGGTGGTGCTTTGAAGTCGCCGCTGGCAGCTGGCGCTCGAGCACGTGGGCTCAGCTCCGCCAGCGAAGTGAAAGCCCAACAGCCCAACTTTCTGTAAAAGAGCCCGTGATTATGAAAGCCGCACAGCAAGCATCACGCTCGGCAACAATAGTGTTACGTAATAGTACAATAAATGCTTACAGGCACATAGGACCGCTCATAGGCCAGCAGATAGATAGAGCCCACGGATCTGAATGCATCATAGCATCAGCACGCTTGCCTGTGACCTTGCGCGTTATACAGCCTGCTACCCATCAACATCGCAAAATCGCGAGCCTCGAAACCTGCACCACGACCTCTCACACGCTAAGACACAGACCTTGCAAGCCCTAAGCCGGACATCGGCTCCTGCGATTTTCCTGTCTGTCGGATGCGCATGCGTTGGCGTCTTCGACGAACCTGGCTGTGGGTGCTCTCTTCGACAGCTCCCCGGCAGTAGAATTTTCCGTTGTACCGAGATTTTGTAAGGCGGTCCAAGCGCTTGAGGGTGTTTAAGGGTTTGGGGACTTGTCGGGTTTAGGTTGGGGGCTCTGGGCTGTTGGACCCTGCGTCCGAAACCCGAAACCCTACACAGAACTCAGGCTCCACCGTCTGGAGCTTGCGCCGAAGCTCGAACTCTCAACTATACTAGCTGCTGGATATGTTTGTACCCATATCAGTGAATTATCGCCCTCCGATAATCGAGGTCACGCTGCAACGTATATGTGCCCTGACTTGTGCGTCTATGGAGAGCGAGAGGGAGTGAGTGAGTGAATGAGTGAGTAACACAACCTCCGACGACATATGCCTTGTCCTTTTAGCAAGAACTTTGCCCCTATAAACCCTAAACCTAAACCCTAAAGCCCTAAACCCTAAAGCCCTACAGCCCTAAACCCGAATCTGCTGGAAGATGTGGGGTTCCGGGTCACGCAGCCTCGCAGTTTCCGACCACTGTAGGAACAAGGACAACTCCCAGGGTCCAAAGGACCCAATCGTCGGGTACTATGATTAGGGTTTAGGGTTTTAGGGTTTAGGTTTAGGGGATATAGTAGTAATCTAGCTTAATGTGTGGGAGAGTATATGATTATTAGGTACTTGGACCCTTAGCGCATCCGCCCATGAGCAAACACGTCCAAAGCAATCTCGTGCAATCTTGTTTGGGCTGGGAACCCTTTGACCTACAATGAGGTGTATCTGCGAATTAATTAGCATTGGGCCTTCCAGAATTTTGAACCTAATTTCTCAACATAGCCCTAAACCCCGGAACCCCATTATGCTTTTTTTATCGCTCAAGCCCTCAAAACTCGCGTCTCATCTTCCAGTCGGTGCCTTTCCGGATCCATGAAAGCCGATCAGGCAAGCCTGGCAAAAGATGAGATCTGCAAGGGGATCCTGGCTGGGACAGAATGCTGCGATCCCAGCGGCGAAGAGGCTACTGGTGAATCCTTTCAGCGGAACATGCAGAAGCTCCTTGTCGAATTCTGCTGCGTGTGTGCACCTAACTGCCCTAATCCTTGACATAAAATCTTAAATCCTAACGCAGCCTGCGTTTCTGCAACCCTGAAACTCGAAGCGTGCGTGACTGCAAATCGAGGTTCGGCCAGGTGATGGGAGAAGGAGCCCATCGGTACGAGTCGTGCCTGAATCCTTCCGTGTGCCTCGGTGCAGTTGCAACGCGTAAGTACAATAGGACCTAAAGGCAGACTACTATAGACACTGGGTCACTAGGATTGCATAAAGCTTCTGATTTGTTAACGACATCTCGTGTTTCTCAGCCAGAATGTGTTGAAATTGCTGTTTCAGTTGGGTCAACATCAAGTATAGTACTAATTACCAAGAGCCACCTTAGTTCACTGATGCACATGTCAACCTTTGATGTGTGTGCACCCTGGAACCAAGAGCAAGCAAGGTGTGAGTTGGACTTCACTCAGCTGGTTGAGCTGAAAGCATCGCCAGCTGCTTGGCTGGACCCGCGCTTCGGGCGCAGTCTACCGGTTTGCCTTGCTGTCTGGACTTGATGTAACGTTCTCGGAGACCGGACCCCAATTAGTGGTAGTGGTAGTAGTGTTCGTGGGTAGTCCTATTCGTCGTCGTCAGGTCAGCGGCTATGTAGTGGTAGTTAGTTAGAGCTGTTGCTGTGATATTTACTGCTGCTGCTACTTTAGGGCAGTTCTTACGGTTTTATGACTTTGGTGGCCGCCGTTAGTCCATGCATGAGTGTTGCCTCACTGCGAGTGGTGGGCGACGGGTGTGCCTGCTTCTCCTGTCGTTTGTACACTACTGGCAACATGCAGGGGATAGATTGCAGCTGCAGCCTTATACTTTTTGAAGGTTTCGTGTTGCTCAACCATTGGTGTCTGGAGAGCCCTAAACCCTCAAACCGAAAACCCCATATCTCCCAAAAGCCCTAAAGCCCTAACCCTAAACCCTAACCCCTAAACCCTCAATCGCAAACTAACAAGAACCTTCAAGCGGGGCCGGAAGTTGACTCCAACTTTGAGTCCCTAGATGCCCCAAACCTCCGCTCCGCTGAAAGCCTTCTTGCTCGGCCGAGCTACTCATCCCTATACACCTCGGAAGGTTTGAGATTCAGGTTTTCGTGCAGCTTTTGGGGTTTCGGCTGCTGGGATTGCTCAGATGCCTCTGCGGGACCGCTCGGCGCGGACGGATGTGGCTGAGACCATGTCGCGTACACAGGCATTTGAAACCTGTGTTGCTTGGCCGAGGATTCTCTAGTTGAGGGTGCGCTGAGAAAATCGGACTATGTCTTCTTGCCTTTGAGTACAGTCTCTACCCATGATTGCGTATATGTAACACCGGATCATTCAAAGTCCGTCAAAGCGTTGGCAGTTTGGTCACGGGTAAGCACAAGCTTTTGAAAGAGTTGTAACTGTAACATGTCTGTACATATATATTTATATATACACTATTTTTGTATGATGGTTTATTACATATAGAAATATTACATATAGTATATTTGTGCTTTATGTACATATACATATATGTGTGTGTGCGCATATATTTTATGTTCTATATTATTTCATTATCTTTTACGCTTATATATTATTGTACGTAAAAATACACATATACATTACATTGAACCTGTAAAATTATATATATATATATACATACATACATATACATATATATATATATATTCGCTTTTACTTCGTATAATACAATATAAAGTTTTCGAATCCCTAGATGTGAGACCCGAGCCGCCGGAAGCCACTCCAAGAGATCGGCCTGAGGCAAAGCATCACGCGCGATACGTGGAGATAGTCGTGCAGCTGCAACAGCCGCGTGCTCTTTTCAGTAGCGGAATTCAGATTGTTGTGTTTTTGTTGTAGGCTTCCGAAACCCCTAAACGCCTAAACCCTAAACCCCTAAACCCTAAACCCTAAACCGTGGTCTCACTGTCATGCGAAACTGTACTACCCACCGAAGCAAAACCGCCATAGCCTCTCATAATCCGGCTTAAGAGCCTCACACCTGATTCCAGTTTGACCGCAAAGCCGAACCCGAAATCCCAAGCGCCAGCGTTAAGTCCGAAACCCCAAAACCTCAAACCCTGAACCCCTAACCCGAAACCCTAGGAAATTGAATTTTGGGTTTAGGGTTGAGGAGAACCCTAACCCGCAACCGGTAAACTCCAGGCCATAAGCCCGCTGAGGACGAAGGATTGCAACTTCAACCATTCGGGCGCCTTCTGCGCCCCGGTGTCCTGCGCCCTCCCCTACGAGAAGCTGGGCTCTGAAATGTTCAGCCGTCTAAGAGTCTTTCATCCTAGGTGTGGGGTTGGGGGTTGTGTCTTGGGGTTATGGGGAAAAGAAGGAGTTTGGGTTTGTTATGTCACGGTTCCGTCGTGAGATTCCTGTGTTATGCAGGATCTGGGTAGTTCTCTAAATTAGGGGCCCCTTTTTGCGTCCCCAATATAGACGGCATCCTTATAAAAAGGACCCTAAAAGGGGGACCCTAAAATTTAGAGAACTACTCATCGAGGGTGCTCCTTTCCTCCTTTCCTGAGGAAGTGGATCCTCTCTGCTGAGTACTTCGCACACCAGCTTCTTGGCTCCGACATCTACTTGGAGGATCATGGGACTTAGTAACTATGGTTATATATAAGGTAACTATAATTATAACCCCAATTAGGGTACTTATAACCTTACTTACCAAGTCCCATGATCCTCAAAGTAGACGGAGGTTGCAGAAGATGAGAGGCCCCCAATATAAGCTTTTGGGGCCCTAAGTAGTAGGATCGTTTTAAAGGTTCTAAACCCTAAACCCTAACCCAAACCCGAGACCCTAAACCCGACCAACATCAGGTAGCCTCTCCGCTAAACTTGATGAAGGAAGCCCCCAGTGCTCTTATCTACCAAAGCCCCATAGAACACCCACAAGGATCCGTTAAAGAAGCAAGACGGAAACCCTAAACCCTCAACCAGATAGACGTATAGGTTTGCTTTTAGGGGGGGTTCATACTATTTATTTGTTTCTTGGAGGGAGTTTGAGGTACGAGTAGAGAAGGGTTTCAGGATATATCATGAATGACATAACAATTAGCATGAGTACGTTTCTGAATAAGATAGTGGCACTATACATGGACGCGATTACGAAGTAGTCAGACCCCCGTGTTGCGGGTTAAAGGTCTAGGATCAGAACACCTTCCCAGAGATCCCAACACCCCCTAACTAAGGAATATACCTTAAACCACA